CTCCACTTGGGGCAGAAGCTCCTCCCTGACCCAGAGAAGGCACCCTACCCTTTTCCGGCTCAAGACCATGGTCTCAGATTTGGAGGCACTGATCCTCATCCTGGCCGCTTCACACTCAGCTGCYAACCACTCCAGTYAGAGRTTTCTATATTTTCTAAAGGCTTTTAAAGTTTTCTTTAGATGTTGACTCTTTGTATTTGACGATTTTCAAGATGAATGTTTTGTTCTTTGTTTTTTTAAACCAAGTTCAAGCACCAAAAGGCATCCAATTTAAACAATTTTTTGCGTACACATAACAGACAACTTGGCAAAAAAGAGACTATTTCTTTCTAGCAATGGATCATTAAAACATGTAATCTTCCATTTCTTTCAATGTATCTATGAAAATCACAAACAGATGACACCGTTTAACAGACAAGTGTGTCATGATTTTAAAAATTACAAAACTAAAAAAGTGAAGATCAAAACAAATAATAATAAAGACAGACATCAAAACAAACAGAAGATATAATAGTATTTAAAAGCCATATTATTGACACAAAGAGGCACAAAATCCTGAGATAGAATTTAAAAGATTAATCATCATGGTTTATCAACTAAATGCCAAGTTTTCTGTTAATGGCTTGTTAAGAATCATTCTGTTCAAGAAACACATTTTTGTTTTGTTAAAATATCTTTATCAATTTTTGTTTATGCAACTGAGAAAAATTGGAACAAACTGCATGTTTTTTTTCTCAAGCTGCCAGGTTTGTGTTGAGCAGTTTAACAAATGGAAAATCATTCTCTTTAAATTGGTTAGATGAAAGGAACAGACTGAAAATGAGTGATGAGCAGCCAGTGTGGACAAGCGTTCAAAGACATTCAGAAATCCACAAGAAATGTAATGAAATCAGCCTTCTTGGAAAGAAAATATAAACTTTAAACCTAGCATTTCATGAAGCAATGCATAATCCCTGCTGCTGTTCATGGTGGAGTTATAAAATGATATTATAAGTAATTGACAGATTTTGAGATTTTGTGTTCAAATTTAAAAATAAAGTTTTGTGAGATCTCATTAATCAATGATGGTGTTGGTAATGACTCTCAACTACTACTACACCAGGCTTTATCCCAGTTTATTAACGGTTATCTGAGTTTTATGTCATTTTTTTGTGTTGGCCAAGGTTAATTAGCGATTACAACGGTCTTCAATTGGATATTCACCAAAAGCTAATCAATTTAGTTGTAGAAGCATATCTCATAATTATTTATCTTTTATTTCCCAGACAAACTATTTGACTTCAGTTATTAATAACATATATTGTGCAATGTGTAATGAATGAAGTGTTGGGAATGTCTCTCAGCTATAACCATGCCAAACTAATTTTTGGTGCTTTTAAAGTTAGTTGGCCATAGAGGGTCACACAGAGACAAAACCATTACTGTCTGCTTTTCACTGGTGTGTGATAAAAATAAGCTACAACTCAAAACTACAGTATTAAATGTGATGAAAACCATTTGTCTGTTAGCAAAATGAAAGCAATCATATTTTATTTGTTGAAGCTAGAAGGAATGATGAGGCCTGACTTTAGCATTGATGACATTAAAACCACACCAAAAACACAATATGTTTAATTCTCTCAACCAAACAGACACTGTGTATTTTAATATTTATGCTGAAAGAAACTGAAATAACATTGATAGGGAGATTAATGCAGTCTTGAAATAAATGTGAGTGCCACAAGAATAAAAACTAAATAGTCAAGCCGGCACAACAAGAAAGCTGCTACAAATGCTGAGGGATGCAAATACATTTTAAACCTATTGTGTTCAAAATTGAAAATGTGCTTCATTATTTATATTGCTTTAGCAGGATGCTAAAATTTGATTCTAATTATRAAAATATTGCTGTAAAGCAGCACATGTCCCAAAATGCTACAGGCTCTAATAASCGCTCTAATAGGCTTGGGTTTATTGTCGGCCAGTTGATAAAACACAAAAAACTTTTTGGGAAGATCAGTACCATTACTGACACGTTTTCTGACCATCTCTGTCCATTCTGAAGACACATGGAGGCAGAGAGTGGGGACAGCGACACCCCACCTCTGTACCTCGGAGCGAGGCAGAAACTGTAAATGCTGACTCCTGAGAAGATAGTAGTGCTGCTTGCAAACCACCCAGCTGTGGGTTTCTTCAAAACATCAGATTTAACTTTTGTTGTGTTATTAATTAATTAATTTTTTTCAAGCCCCATAAGCTCAGCTTTATATACGTGCAGAGGAGGAAATAAAAACAAACTTCACTGGCACAAAGACTGACTAAAATTATGCAGCAGCACATGTGGTAAAACTCAGATTAATTTGAAACTTAAAACCTTAAAAAAACTGTACTTGATCTTATATATATATATATATATATATATATATATATATATATATATATCTTTGATATAATATGGACAAGAGTCCATTGACTCATCAGCAGAGTGAGCTGGTGAGATGTGCACTGGAGCTGGAACAGGAGGTGCGCCCACAGGAAGCTTAGATGGGTGTTGTGACAGAAATAATCGTTGAATAACTACAGATTAGTTGACTATCAAAATAAATAGTCATTAGTTACAGCCCATTATAGAAGCCATGTTGACAAACTCCAGTTTAACTTTGTGTTTAATCAAAAAGAGCTTTGTGTGCTTTAAGACTCACCTGTGAGGTTGGTGCGTGCACTGTAGGATCCCAGGTATTGCCCATCTGTGTTGGGTGTGTAACACTCAAACAGGCCCTGGTCCTTGACCAGAACTTTGGTGATGTGGAGCACCGCTGCGTCTTGGCTCAGCCTCTCTACAAAGATCTCTTTATCGTTCACCCGCTGGGCATACACAGCGTAAGCGTAGTTCGACTGAGCCGTGCTCACAATGCGGATCTCCCGATCAGGCACTGACGGCAGGTAGACGGACCACTCAAAGTCCTGCACCCTCCCCTCTTTGTAGCCAGTCACGTTGCACCAGATGGTCACATGGGAGCCTTCGGTTCGAATTATAGGTCCACTCTGGACTGTCACAACTCTCTGAGACACAGCAACACCAGCTGCAAGAGAAGATGAGAAGACAGGAAGGTGAAGAACAAGAAGTGTAAATGAAGTTATAAAAAAAAGTTTCAAATCTGCACTTTGAACTTTTATCATAAACAGATTTTAGGCATCCTTACATGCTGCCAGCAAACAATTACACAAACACGCCTTTTAACACTTGAAAATGTCACTTTTACTCTTGGACAGTTGCAGTTTAATATCAATCACTGCTCACATTACACACATTACACACATTAGCTCTTCACCTTACGGACAACACCGAGACTCCACTACACAGGGGTTAAAGTGAGAGCTCAGTCAGACTGGGTAAAACACACAAAGTGTGGGAGACACTAAGCTGTGCAGAGTACAGGTACTTCTCAAGTGAGTAATAAACAGTATTTTGCCTGATGCGGGTCTTTTGTCCTGTCACTATCCCTGAGAGGGAAAATCACAGCCTCTCGATTTGTGTCAAACTGAATATTAGGCCAGCCTGATTTAATCAACATCTATTTATGTATCGCCAACATGTATGGTACAAACTTATCTGCACACACTTCAATCTTGTCCTGCTTATGACATTTTATGTTTGTGGTCATTTTGAAATGTGTTATTCCTTTATATGAAGTGCTGGTTTTAAGTTGTAGTGCGTTTATATAGAAAAATAATATTGTTCTCCTACAAGTGTCATTTGAGGTTTGAAAAACTCAATACAATGCAAGAATTTAGAGAAGATTAAATTCAAACCAGTGTACAAACTTAAAACAATAGTTGTAATAGTTTGAAGTAGAGACGCATTTAAACGTCAAGAGCAAATATCTTTGCTAGATAATTTATAGAATGATCTCAGTTTGAAGTTTAAATCTGATGGGACTGAGATGGTATGTGCGAAGTCAAAACCAATGTAAATTAACACCATCTTAAAACAATGCTGGTCTCGCAGATTTGTTTTATTGGGCTATGTAAATGCTATTCTATAAACTTTTATCTTGCTGCAAATGTCATGTTACATGGTTGAATTACAAATTGATTATTTTATAGCAGCAACTTCCAGCACAGCCTGGGACACGTTCAGATTACACTGAATTTATCTGTTGGTATTAAAACACCCTGTTTGGTTTTACCATTCTTTCTTTCAGGTCCTGGTCCAGAACTTATTTTACCACGTAAATTTGGTAAATTTCCGTTAACTTCATAGGCGGCGTGGGGGGTGACAGCAATTATTTTATGAAGCCAGAGGAGTACACATAAATAATAAATTGTGCCGGTGTGTTGTTGTTACAATCTCATGACTATCATGGTCCATCAGGGGGGAGGGAGGGCACTTATAGTGTCATCGCCTTCTTCCAAAGTCCTACCTACCTTCCTAAAAGTCTGGGTATAACCATATTATGTGAAAATCACAGCAATGTAGCGATTTATAAAACAGTGCTTGCATCAACCGCTTTGGCATTTTCAAGATTGAAGCTGTTTTAAAATGACAGCAATAAAATTTGATCTTTTCCCACATCAAACTAGCTGTTAGCTCATCAATCAGAATGAAACTATTTCTCCAAACCGAGGTCGTTCAAAGAGCCATGTACAACAAGTAAGACATTAATTGTTCATAGCCTTTTCACAGAGCCCCACTTCAAAAGATCAGAACTGGAACTTTAAAGCCATCCTCTACGGTCATATGGACTAAAGCATGTGCTTTAAAAATATGAAACAACTGTAGTGTGGTGATTACAATTCTTTGAAACTATTTAGGCATTGCGCATTTGAGTCTTGTCACAAATTCTTACACGCACATAAAACACACAGAACGTTCTCCATTCATGGAACAAACATCRCTCTCATTTGAGGTGGAGACAGCAGAGCATTTACACATACCCCAAAACTAGACGGAGAGACAAGAACGTAATTTCTTGTCTGCACAAACAACTGGGGATTGCAGCTGTTTGTGTGTGGGTGTGTGGGTGTGTGTGTGTGTGTGTGTGTGTGTGTGTG